CTGCCCGGCCCCGCCGGCCGCTCCCCCCGGCCCTGGCCGCTCGCCCTCCGTCCCGGTCCCGAGCGCAGGACGGTGCTGCCGTGTGCTTTCGGTTGCTGTTTTAAGTCGCCTGTGGAGTCTGGTGTGAAGTTTTATTTCCGCTTTCTCTTTTTTTTCTAGGCAGCCTCTTTGTGTGTGAAATGCTGAGGATGCCGCATGCTTTGCTTTAAGGAAGCAGCTTGGCTATCTCTTGCGGTATAGGAGTATAGTGACGTTACATTTCTCATTTCAATGCTACTGAACTTGCATATCTTAATTTTTCTCTTGAGGATCACTTTTACTTACCAGACTTTGTAGCAGAAATCGGTTCTCAGGTTCGCCTGTGTTATGACATGATAATGTCTCAAGGTACTGCCCAGAACAGAAGGTTTTTACAGGAGTATGTGGCATTCTCTAATTTAGCAGTAAAGAAACCTACATGAGTGTTGTGTTTCCTGGTACCTGTTCACTCCCTGCTTAGCTTCTGAATGTGGATCAGATTGTAGAAGTCCCAGCTCTCTAGTCACCTAAAATATTTATTGGCTTGTTAAAGAGAAGCACATCTGCTGCTGTGAAGGCCAGATTTGTTTTAGAACTCTGTCACAGGACTCTGCTAGTCTGTCTTTAACAGAAGACACTATAAAGCTAATTTTACCATAGAAAAGAGGTCATAGGAAGGCGGTGGAAACTCATTCAGAACAGGGAACCATATTCCTTTGGAGCATTCAGGTATTTATTGTGAGTATTTTGTAAATGATCAGCTGTGAGAAAGGTTCGTTTGGGCATGTTAGAGCCTCAGTAGGATGGTTTGGCAGTCCCTTAGGAGGAACTCGTATGGCAGGATAACTGTGTGATGTCTCACACTGTTACCCCAAAAGGACATTCACAGATACTTAGAAAGTGGGAGTTTTGGGAAATGCTGGGTGGGAATACTCTCTCAAGCCGTGTAATTAAAAAGAAAGGAGCTGCCAGAGGAGATGATCCAGCAAGGTTGAAAGCAGGCAGGTATTTGTGTGAGCACCAGCACGGCCAGAAGCACTCTGAGATTAATCGTGTGACTCAGGGTTCAAACCGATCCTTATGGCAATGAGAACTGGCCTTTTCTGTGTAACAGGATATCGAAATTTGCTTTTCACAGTGCCTCGCGCTCTCCTCGAGCTCCCTGGTGCTGAATTAGGGAGAAGGGGCTGGCAGGAAAGGGAATGTGGCAAATCATCTTGCTGATGGTGTTGCTGTGCAGGGGGAAGTTCAGAAGTCCCCACGGAGCAGGGCCCTGTTCCTGAGCACTGCTTCAGCTCTGTGTGGGACGTGTACAAACCCTGTGCAGGCACACGGAGCCTTTGGAGCTCAGAATGTGTGTTTGGGCCAAAGAAAAGGCTGAGCTGGCAGCAGTGGGCTGCCCCTTGCCAGAGGATCTGGGCTCCTGAGATTCGAGGAGCATGTTTGCTTCACTTCACAGAGAAACTGAAGGGGAAATGTGCAGTTGTCAGGCCACTGCCCATTCCTGCAGTGAGATCCCGACTGCTCCTTGACCATTCCTCATGGTTTAGGATTTCCTCTCTCTTTCCCCTGAGCCTTGCAGAGCCCTTAGCTCTGTGTTCATCCATCATATAAACCTCCAGAGTGAGCTCCCCGATCGTGCAGAGCTGATGTGGGGCAGGTTCAGTGTCTTGGGCAGCTGTTTGCAGCATCTGCAGCTCACTGGGGTGGGGTTTATTCCAGTTCCAGCTTAACTTCAGTGTCTGGCACTTCTCAGAAAATTCGGTTTTCTTTGGGTTTGTATCTTATTATTGCCCATTTCCCGTGTTTGCTGTTTCTTTTGCCTTTCTGAAGGGAATCAGTTCCATTGGATAGTGAGCAGAGTTAAGAGAAGCAGCTCCCAGGCTGTGCTGCCCCTCCATCCCCGGTGTGTGGGAGCCAATCTGGCTGTCCAGGAGCAGCTGCAGACACTCCAGCTGACAGCAGCAGGGATTCATCTGCTCCACATCCCCCCAGAAACACACGGGAATGAACCTTGTGTTTGGTGTGGCACGGTGCAGCGCTGGAGAGTGGCATGGGACATTCCTCCAGCCATGGAAATGCACAGCCACCAGTAGTCAAACCCTGCTTTGGGAAGTTGAACTATAGATTACCCATCCCAGTAATCCCAGGGTGGCTACACGGGGTTCCACATAGGTTGAGGAATTGGAGTATTATGGTTTCTATATTGGCATAAAGAAGTTCAGGCATAAATATCATTACTCTGTTTCTGGCTGGCTTGAAAATTCCACTGCACTCTCATAAATAGGGAGAGATGGCCCTGGTTGGTTTTGTGGGTTTGTTTTCCTGTTTTATTTAAACTACAGGAATCTGGTCTCCTCAGTCCTGGAGCCAGCTGGAACAGCAGGACACTGCTCCTCCTTATAAAGTGCCTGATCTCACATTTTCTAGTTCATCACAGCAAGACTTCTGATCCTATCAAGTATTTTGGTCAGTCTCCTCAAGGAAGGTCCCAGGTTACTTCAGCTGGAAGTTCCCTGCTTGGGTGCCAGGTTACTGAAAGCTCTGTGTATCTCCTGGGATTGCAGCTGACAGATGGAATTCCACATGGCATGTGAAAATTCTCCTTAATAGGGATAAAGGAGAAAGGTTTCAGATAGAGAATTTTTTCAGAGGTGTGTGTGTACAGGGAAATGGGTCCTGCTGAGAGCTCAGGACCTCCAAAACCACCACATGAACCAGCACAGTTCAATTCAGAGTGCAAACTGTAAACAGGGGCAGGAAACAGATTTATAGAGAAGAAAACCTTTTGTACTTTCTCTATGTACTAGTGCAGAACACTCACAAGCTCTTCTGTCCTGCAGGCTTCAGATTTCCCACTGTTGCTGGGTTTGCATATATAAAAATGTAAAATTATAACATTTAATAAAATCTACAAACTATTATCTTGTGTCTGTTTCTTGTCACTTCAAAGTATTTTTAGCTCTTCATGGCTATTAAAATGCTGGAAAATGTGGGGGTTTGTTTCATCTAGAACTGGGTTTGACCTTTTGGCAACATCCTGCCCATCAGTTTGGTTTTCCTCATTTGGAAATTGAAATGGGTTCATCAGCGAGTCTTTGTTTTTGTGGGATCTGTGTGACTTTGGGAAGGCTTTGGCAGAGTCTGCTGCAAACCTCCAAAACTGGGCAGCTAGGACAGGCTGGAGTAACTGGAGTTGTTTCTCTGGCTGTTGGGTGGAGATGCCTGCATTTCTGACACTGCCTCAACTCGTCCCTCAGCCTTGGCAGTGGATTCTCAGCTCCCTTCTCCTTGTTTGAAATGCATTGCCACGTGGATCCAAGGGATTTATAGCGAGCCTCAGACGCTGGGCGTGGGTTAAGATGTGGCTGTGTTGGGTTTCTCCTGGGGACCCCGGAAGGTGAGAGCCCGTTGGATTCCCGTTGGATTCCCGTTGGATTCCCAGTCTCGCTGGGTGCTGAGGGAAGCAGCTGCTCGATCTGTCAGCGTTGTCTGTGCTCACATTGCCATGGCAACAGGAACTGGCTCCACACAAACGGCACAAGCTGTTGGAAGAGCGTTTTCAAAACAAACCCGAGCTGGTTTGTCACTCTCGGTGCTCGGAGCCCCAATGGAGCTGCACAGCCCAGCTGCAGGGGCAGCTGCGAGCCCACAAATCCTCATCTCCTGCCTGGGGAGATGCTCCAGACCCCTCATCATCTCATCTCTGGGGCCTCCTGGACCCTCAGCAGTAGCCCCTTGTCTCTCCTGAGCTGTGGAGCCCAGAATTGAGCACAATACTCCAGATGTGGCCACACAAGGGCGAGGCAGAGTAATCACTCTGATGGAAAGAGGAAAGAAAGAGAAATCATGGAATGCAAAGAAAAAGAAAGGCAGAAGAGGAACATGGAGCAACCCACCTTTGGCACAGGAGCACAAGAGGGAAGGTCCTGTTGATGGGCAGGGAAGGGAAAAGCAGCTGAAGCTGTGAGTACAGAGTGGTTTCATCTCAAAATTTCATGAGTAGCTCTTTATTTAGGGGTCTCTCCAAGCTGTGTCATGTGATGCTGCAATTCCACTTTCTAAATGCAGAAACTGAGAGGAATTTTTTTTGCCATTGACACTTGAAGTAGTAATAAACTGTCTTAAAAACCCATAACATAATTGTATGAGCAATGAACTTTTATTTAAGAGGTTCACTGAGCTGGCAAGGAGCAATCCTGACCCATTACTCCAGCCCAGCACCAGAGCACAGGGGTGATTTCAATCACCCTCTTCAGGGCCTACAACCTGTGTCCACAGGAGCCCTTGGGGGAGCAGGGGGGACAATTCCCTTCATTCCCACCACTGCAGAGCAATGGAATCATCTCCATCAATTCTGGAAGTGCTGGAACACAGAATACAGAAAAGGGTCTTTCTTACAGGTCTGATGGAGAAAACCAAACTGTGGGATGTGGTGGGTGTTGAGGATCAAGGGATTATTGAACTGGGAATGAACAGGAGTGGCTGGAGCTGGGATGGACGCTGGGACAGCACACCAGCACCCACAGTGTGTTTGCCTGTGTGAGGGCTGCTCCTTCCCTCGAGGGGCTGACACAGCTGCTGCAGATGTGTCTCTCACTGACACACCCTCTGTAACACAAAGATTTCCTACAAGCTGCAAATTATTTATATCACCTTTTAAATCCAGCTATTAGTTGCACAACTTTTTTGGGATGTATCAAATTATTCAAGTCCTTCTACAGATTTCCAGCTCTGTCTACGAGATGTGGTCACTGTGCAGGAGTTCAGTGGGGTGTGGTGCTGGGTTGCAGTGAGGAAGGAGCAGTTACTGAACCGTGCAGTTCCCAGTCCCTCTGAGGTTCCATTCTCACTGCTGTACAAACCCCAGCTCCCAGGAGCAGCAGTTCTGCCCCACGGCTGGGACTGTAGAAAAGGAGTTCTTGGCTGTACATGGCTTCCACAGCGGCTTTGTTACATCAGGTACAAACTGTACAAGTTCTCCAGGTTCCAAGTGTTGTAAGTGGCAGAAACAGTTCAGCCTGTGTTTATAGACTGGGTTTAAGTGTAGAGATTATTACAGGTAAGGACCAGGCAGAGTACCCAGCTCCATGGAACAGCAAAGATGTGGGTTTAATACAACCTGCAACAGTACAGATATGTACATATGTACAAAGTGGATCCTCTTCTGCTGCTGCTGAGCACGCTCGGCACTTGATCCTCAGCTTCCTTGGAAGTAGGAAACACTGGTGCAAAACAGGTCCAGTTCTGCAGCACCTCAACTTCTGGGTTGAGCTCTCTGTGACCAGGGCCCCTACAGGACCCCCTCGTTGAGGCGGGACTTGCTGTAGTCCCCCAGATCGTTCTGCAGGTCTCGCTCCTCATCATCTGCAATTACAGATTGTAATTAGACTACAGTTAAAATGCTCAGATCAGATCTGATGTGGTATCACTGAAAAAATACCCGAGTACCGTTCCCAGGACATGCTGCTAAAGGGCACAGCCCCGAGCTGGCCAGGGCTGGTGACAGGATGGAGTCAGCAGGGACAGGATGTGTCCAGCCTGGCTGGCAGCACTCCAGGGGGATCTCTGGCTGCAGGGCAGCCCCAGCTCACAGTCTGCCTGACTTCAGACACTGCAGCACTGTCACACCAGCTGCTGGCCTTTGACACTGCCTACCAAGCTTTCAAACTCCCCCTCTGAAACCCCGCTCCTGCTCAAAGCCCCGTGCCCAGAGCTGACGCCATGAAGCTTCACAGAGGGTGGGAACTTGAGGGACTAGCACAGGGAAGTCACTGGGACCCCTCCCATAACAAAGGCCTCCTTCCCTCAAAAAGTGAAAAACCCTAAAACTTCCATTTGTTCCAACTAATAAGCTTTTCCTGCACCTCAGAGCTATTCCTTTCTATCAGGAAAGGCTCTTGTTCACAGCAAAGGAAATCCAAGTTGAGCTCCCCCATCTTCCTGGAGCTCTCCACACCTTCACACCCGGCACCCCGGGAGCCAGGCAGGGGCCTGAGGGGTTGCCCCAGCAGCAAAAGGCTGGATTTCACCTGCAGGACACAGGTTTGTTCTGTGACAAAGTACCACCACAGCACCTGGACATCCTGGAATTACTCCCCCTCCACCATCCAGCCACCACTAACACATTTTAGAAGCTGCCACCTTCAAACATCCCCTTGTCCTCCAGCAGGTGCCTGAGGGAAGGAACCAGGCTGGGTGCTGCCCTGCCCCAAGGAACATCCCCCAGATTGGGTATTTCCCCTGGACAATTCAATCCAAGCCTGCACATTCCTGGAGACAAGAGAAATCATGTGGAATCCAGTGGCTTTGTAGCACATGCCACAGGCTTTTGTTCAGCCCGATGCAGACTCGGGTGATGTTTTCCTGATGGTTTTTAGACAGAAATTCTCATTCCTTTTTTCCCCTCCCTAAACAATTACAACCGCCCTCCCTTCAACCCCTCCCTGTTCTGCCCTCTCCTGCCCTGCAGACAAATCAGCCTGAAGCAGCCACTTTTTCTGGAATACTGTCCCTGGAAGCTCCACTGGTCACACTCAAATCACAGCTCAAGCCAACACAAGAAGTTATTAAGGAACAACAGAACAAAGCCTGGGAAATGTGGTTTGAGGTAGTAACACACTGTTCAGATCATTCCTCAGGAAGAACCTTCCAGAAGTCACCCTTTAACCTAACTACCAGTTCTTAATCCAGTCTGTCTATACAGAGACAAAGAGGGGTTCCTCAGGAAAAGGATTTTCCCCAAGTTCAAATTCCAAGCCACCAGAGCAGGGACCTTGCAGGGACCCCACCTGGAAGGGAAATGGTTTTACAGGGTCACTGTCAGTCAGAGCTCTGTGTTTTCAAACACCACTCACATTGCAGCTTACACAAGCCCAGTGCCTGGGGTTTAACATTTTCCCACCACTTAGAGCTGGATCACGCCACCCTTTCCCAAGTGGCACAGGGCACCATCAGGGACATGCTCCCATGGCCCCAGCAGGGACAGAAAAGTGCCATGGGAAGGGACACTTGCTATGGGACCAGGCTGCTCTGATCCCCCCGTGCCCTTGTGCAGCTGCCAGCCCAGGGACCACCCTGCAGAGGGGCAGGCAGGACACACAAACCCCCTGCGAATTCTGAGCACAGGGGGTACAGAAAAGGCTGCAGCTGGAGCAGCAGGCACTGCAGCTCATTAGTAAGTTAATTAATCACCACAGGTTCTGGTCCATCCTATTCTTCCACTTGTGCACGAGTTTCAGAGTGCCAGCCCAGTCCAGCCTGCTGACACTGCACTTAGCTGCATGCTCACACAGTCAGCTGCTTTTTACTGGCTTTGCCCATTCATTTTGCTTAGATGCCAATTAAATACAGTGCCTGAAAAACCTCCAGCTAAAAACTTACTAACTTATATAACTTGTATTATGAGGGTCAAAATCAGGGGGGCTGTAGGATTTTTGTCCCATTTCCTGGGTTTTTTTTCCCCCTCTTTATTTTACACTTCCATTTAATGGGAAATACTCTATGTTTACCCAACATTCTTGCCCTAGAGACATGCAGGCCTGTCCCAGATATCCCCAAACAGCTGGATGGAGGAGGCAGACAAGGCAGGCAGAGGCAAGCGAGGGAGGCAATGCAGGAGCTGCATGCAGGACAGGGAATGGCCATGCACACACGGTGTTAGGCAGCACTGGATCAGGAGCTCCGAGGTGGGTTAGCAGGACACCACAAGCCTGTTGAATCTGTGTATAATGCACAAGTGACACCTGGAATCACCACCTGAGGCCTCACGGCACACCAGCTCCAGGCAGGTGTGACAAGAGCAGGAGTAGAACCACTTCATTCCTCTGTTTGACAATTCAGGAACATCAAGGCCCAAAGCCCTCTCAGGCAGGGGCCAGAGCTGGGGGTTTGGGTAAATCATTGTCTGGAATTTAGGGTCTCACTCTTCCTAGCAGGGACTATTGCAGCAAGGTGCCAAAGCCCCCTCACTCAGGTCTGGTGCATCATTGCTGTCCCACAGAGAGTGAGACCAAATTTCACGCTTGTTTGTTCTGTCTGAGCAATTTGTGATCAGCTAAAGCAGAGAGGCTCTACACAAATTCAACAAGTAACTCAGCACGGATTTATCACAATGGGATGGAGGTAAAGGCCCAAGCTCACCTTGGACGTCTTCTTCTCCACCATCACCATCCTCTTCCTCATTGTAAGCCAGCTCGGCCTGTTTGTCTGCCTCATACTCACCCACGTTCCCATCATCCCCATTATAATCTGCCAGTTTAGAACCCTGCTGCGGGTCCACAGGGGATTCATTCTCATCAAAGAACCGGCCTGTGGGGTAGGAAAGGAGTGAGTCAGCAGCAGAGAGGAAAGAAACAGGGAGATCCTACATGAGAGCAGAGAGGTGGAGGCAGTCGGGGTCTGTGGTAGATCCAGCTGGAGAGAAAGGGGGAGAAGGGAGAGGGGTAGGGGTCCCCAAAAAGCACAAGAGCACTCGTGGAAGGGTCAATATCCACTTCTCCTGAGGCATTTTGCACAGCCTGGAGAGATCCAAGGTGCCTGCAGGGGTGTCCTGCTGGCACAGACCTGCCCTCACCGCCCAGCTGGGAAACTCAGCCAGCTGGCTTTACACTCTGCTTTCCTAGTAAGCTCCAACAGTTTTCAAAATGCCCCAAACCCAGTATTTTCACCTCCTCACAAAAAATTAAGAATGGTTTCAGATCCTGAAACAATGCACAAGAAAATGGGAATGAGCTGGAAACAAGGACTGAGCAGATAATCACTGAGGCACAAAGTGAGAGATTGCTGGTGTGATGTCAGCTCAGAGCTGGTGTTTAATGGAGTACAGGGAGATCTCTGCCAGCCCAGTGCTGGGGGGAAGCAGCTCTGAGTCTGCAGAGGCCACTGGCCTGGAAGATCGTGTATAAATGGAAAAAAAGGGAATCAAGTGTGATACAATTCTCACACACTGGGCACCAAGGCTGCCAGGGCAGGTGGTGATTCCCAGTGCAACTGATGGGTAAGTAAAACTGGAGAATGATTTCAACATCAGGATTAAAAATGGGCAGATGTAAAAGTGAAATTATTCCCTAAAACAATGTGTATATAAAAACCAGGACAGAAGCAGTAACATCCTGCTTCTCTGCATGGGGGAAAAGCAGCAGAATCACACCTAGGATGTACAGGAACACCTGTATTTTACATAAATACACAGGTGTTCTCATAAAACAAGCAAAAAAACAACTCATGATCTGTTTAGAAATCCAAAGTTCCATACATTATTCATTGCCTGCTCATATCTGAGTGATCCTGTTGGTATTTTTGACACTGCATTACATCCAAAACCTGCATAGGACAGTGGGATTTGCACATGTTGAACCCAAACTGAGCCATGGAAGACAAGGGCATGTAGCCAACTTCCAGCAAAACCAGCCCATGGACAGCCAGAGATATTGTGACAAACAAACACTGAATGAATTGAAGCTGACAGAAGGAAAGGTTAAAGTGGATGAAGAGATCCCAGGAAATGCAGCAGGCCCACAGAGGCTACAGACTGAGCTCAGGGAGCACAGTCAGTCTGGTGAGCCCATCCTGTCCCCCCCTGCCATGGCAGGGACACCTCCCACTGTCCCAGGCTGCTCCCAGCCCTGTCCAGCCTGGCCTGGGACATCCCAGGGATCCAGGGGCAGCCCCAGCTGATCTGGGCACCTGTGCCAGGGCTGCCCACCCTCCCAGGGAACAATTCCTGCCCAAGATCCCATCCAGCCCTGCCCTCTGGCACTGGGAGCCATTCCGTGTCCTGTCCCTCCATTCCTTGTCCCAGCCCCTCTCCAGCTCTCCTGGAGTCCTCTAAAGTCCCTCCAGACTCCTCCTCCAGGCTGAACAGTGCTACTCTACACCCTCTGCTTCAAAGCTCTGTCACCAACACCCAGCCAGGCAATGGCCACAGTGGGGGCTGCAGAGCTGGGCCAGAGCTGGGCTCCTCCATGCCAGGGGTGAATTTGTCACCAATGGACCTTTCAGAACAGCCCCTGACCATCAGGACAGACCTTGTCACAAACCTGGATTAGCTATTTCCTTCCGTGATAAAGCGTCTCCCTCACGGCACCATGAAACCCACAATTGGAGCCGTGGCAAATGTGAAGAGAAGAGATCAACTGGGGACAATTCCTGGCTCTCAGGTACCCCCTCACAGCCTACAGCCAGACATCCCCCTGCCAGCTCCTGCCTACACAACCACCCCCACCATTCCATCCGTCACCAGGGAAGACAGACAGCCCATTAACAAACCAAACTACTGGAATGAGAAGTTTTCTCACTCCACAAGTTTCTTCCAGAAACCACTTTGATAAAATAAGGAGCCTTGCACACCTCAGGATACACAGAGTGGAAGCCAGGCCTGCCCAGGCTCTGTGACAATTTGTAATTGTAACACACTTGTCCCTGCCCCATCACAAAGTTCCACAAGTGATATTAAAACAACCAAAGTTTTCTCAGTTTTGGCTGAATTCTTACAGAACTGTCCAAAAAGTGTATTGAAGTAATTAAGTGAGTAACCTAGCATCCCTCATGTATCAAATCTGTGACTTAACCAATCTAACTCTGCAGTAATTCCCAAAAGCATCTTAAATTCCAATAAGGAAATAATTTTTTAAAATAACTAAATGCACATGTGAAAAATAACACATTAAAGCCTACCTTTTACCCAGGTACACAATATATTCCTTCTCAGGCTCCCTCCCCAAAGCCACCCTCTGCAATGGTCCCTGTTTTCCAGATAGGCACTTACACAGGTGAAAAAAGGAAAGGATTTTTTTAATATATTGAAGTGTGTGATAATGGCCAACTTACTTTGCTTATTCTTCTGCAAGTCACTAACTCGGCTCTTTGGGATTTTTATCTGGTCTGGCTCAATTTTGTGGTCTTTCTGGGCTTCCACATTTTCTTCAAAATTCAAGTGCTGGAGAGAATTTGGAGGGATCTGCTTGGCAATGTTGGCGTTTCCATCACTGTCACTGGGCAAGCCTACAACATTAAAATGGGAAGTTACACTCAGAATTTTAGCAGGACAAGAAGACACCTGCAGTGCAGGCATAACCTAAGGTGACTAGATCTGCAAGCACAGAGTTTATTTTCTTTGGGTTTGCCTCTCTTTTAACTGCAATTCCTCCAAACCCTTTCACTGCAGGGCTTTCAGTTCCCACATCCCAAACCTTGCCCGTGTCACCCTCAAGTGAGCTGCTCCCAGGGACAGGAATCTTGGTTTATCTGCTTGTGGTGCAGCCCTAATTAGTACCCTGAGGAGGAACAAACATTTCCATTACTCTGCCCACTGGAGGCACTTTGAAACTTCTAACTCAAATTTAGCTGTGATTGGTCAAAAGGCTCAGAAATTATTTGGTGTGGAGAGTACAAGAAGAGATCATACAACAACAGCCCAAGTGCCTCAGCCAGGTAAGAACACAACTTTGGATCCTGCAGAAATTTATCCTTGGTTTTCTTCTTGTAACCAAAACACTGCTAACAGGACTTTTACCTGGTGCCAGGTTTGGAGCATGGGGCTGTTCAGTTGGAAGATTGATAATGGACTGATGACCTTCACTTTCAGGAGCTGAAATAAGTGGCTTCTTTAAAGCTGAAACAGAACACAGGGACAAAAGCATTAACATGAAACAAACACACTACTTACCTGGTCTTGCTCTAACAATCCTGTAAAATTCTATTTTTTTATCATTTCCTTAATGAAAATATAAAAAATAAGATTTCAGGAGGGGCATCATCCAAAACACTCCATTTTGAGAATTCAAATCTCCAGGGCACAGTAGAAACGATCTGATTTTACACCCCACTTGAATTTTATTACCACAGAGAGATTTGAAAAGTCTGCACTCACTGTGAACCACGTGGTGTTCACACACATCTACATCACCAAGACCCAAATGTGAAAGAATGAAGAGTATTGCTCCTAACCAGTGGGAGTATCTTCAGCTTTAGTAGGGCCATTATCTTCTATTTCAGGCATGCCTGCATCTCCTACTGGTTTGATTTTCTCTGCAAGACAAGAAAAGGATATTCTGCCTTACTAACCCTCCAGTCTGAATTGTGAATTTCCCTCTTGTGGAAGGCTCTAACTTAGACAATCACTGCAGCTAATCAGTGTAGCTGGGCCAAACAATTCCTTCTGCTTCAGAGAAATGCACTCTCTGGAGGCTGACAAAGGATGCAACACAACTGGCCCATTCTCTATCACAAATGCCCAGAAAAGGAAATACCTTTGCCATTTGCAACATGTTCTGAACGCTCCTCATTCTTCACTACGACTTTATCTTCCACCTCTGCAACAGTCTCAGGTATTGCCTGGTCACCATTGCTGGGGCTGACTGCAGTGTCTTTACTAGACTGAATTTTCTGTGTGGCCTGCTAGAACAAATAAGGAGACAATATTGCACACTTCCCTGGAAATTACAAAATAAACATCCTCAAAATCAAGGTTACTTTGGGTAAGCAAAACTGCATTTATGAATTCAAGGATCACCAAAGCAAAGCGCAGAGCACTCTATGCACAAAGCTGGGATCTGGAAACACAACTGGACAGAAAATGTTCAACACAGCACAGCTGCAGGACATTTTTACTGCCATACACAGGTGTTAAGCACAACAAAACCAGGTTAAGGTAACATCAGCCTTAAGCCTCTGGTCAGAGCCTTGAAACAACTCTAGACTGTAAGAGAAGATGACAAACTTGCTCTCATTCTGCCCTACTATTTGAGATATTTATAGATGAAGTAAGGAAAGAAAATTTTAAGCACCTGTTTGCAGAAAAGAGGCCCAAATTCTACTGGCAGTCTGTCTGATGTAATCACACCCTTGATACCATTCCAGTACCATCACAATTTGCATCACATTAGCACCTCAAGGCCTCGGCAGAGCTCAGGCTCCCTCTGCAATAACCTGGGTAAGGCTGTGAGAACACAGATCCCACCCTGGAGAGCTGAACAGGGATATCCATGTTACAGGCAACAACTGAAATCCTCAGCAGTGACATCATGGAGGAGGGCTGGAGCAAAGAATTTGGCCTCAACTTCCAGCTCAGTCCACTGGGTAAGACAATAGGCAGATTTCTTACACTAACACCCACTTAGGGCTGCTCAGGGGGATACTGAACACAAAGTCAGGGAAGAAATGTCCCAGGCCTCCACATCCCTGAGGCAAACTGCAGGCTTGGGCTCTTCTCATTCAACAAACTTTCTTCACACTACCTTTTGCTCCCGTGCAATTTGGTCCATTAATTTCTTGATGTTCTCTTCATGCTGCAGTCTCATTTCCTTGATCTGCTGCCCACACTGCAGGCTTGAGGAGAAACACACCATTAGTTACACTTAACTTGTTGGATCTGCTCTCCTACAAATAAAATAAGGGAAAAAATATGGCACAAAAAGCCAAACCTGAGCTATAACTAGAATAGTCTGTCCAAGAAGCCTGGTGCATGTGTATGCAGTGGGAATGGACTGAATACAGTAAGAAAGCAGAGCTGGAAAAAAATAGGCACAGAGCCGAGAAAACGGTAAAATAAAGAGAATGGCCTTGAATATACTTCCTCCAGAAGCTGGAATGCAACCAAAAGGTCAAGCTCCACAGTTAATCTGTCCGCAAATATTAATTCCACTGGGAAAGCAACGTGTCTCTCCTGGCTGTCAACAGAGAAGGTGCACGAGTGCTACTATCAGTTACTGCTCCCAACTCAAATAACACCATCTGAATACACAGCCAGGTGCCCCAACTTCCCCAGCAAGCCACGGCACCAGCCCAATCACCAAAACTCCCATGTCCTACAGACGCACAGCACAGAAACTCCTCATGTGTAAAAGTGTCGAACACTTTCTCCAGAGTTAAGTCTTCCTCCCTTCTCAAAGCTGCAGGAGTATTTGTTCTCCCTGTATCTCTATCATCAACTTAAAAGGCTGAAGTCAACTTAAAATTTCAATCTACACATGGTGCTTTCAGCGTCAGCAGGAACAAATGAAAGCACACTGCTAGAAAGGCAGCAATTAACAACGCTGGTGACACAGGACTGTGTCCTTCAGACTCCTTCATGTGTTAGTGAACTGAATCTCCATGTTATAAAAAATACATTGACTTAAAAATGCAGAACAATTCCACTAAGCCAAGATTTTCCTATCTCATGTTGGGGGAAGGACTACAACACCACAAAGAACTTGAAAGTCAAACAGCCAGCTCAGGTGCATCACCAAGTGAGCACACTCGCGTTTGAGAATTAGCAGACACAAGATTAATTAGCACTTTTTAGTTAAATACAGGTCCCCTCACACACACCAACCTGCAGCTACCAACACTCCTGAGGACATACCTGTCATATTCCAGCCTCCTTGTCAGGTATGTGTTGTTCTTCTTGTACTCGTGCAGCTGATCTTCCTGGCGGATGAATTCCTGCCGTAACTCTGCCAGTTGTTCTAGGCCAAAAAGCAAAACCAACATGAATACAGAAAGATAAGGAAAAATGCCCCAAGGCAGATACACTTCTAATACTGCTAAGTAAGTAAGAAATTGCCCAAGTTTCATGTCTAGACATACTTTAAAGATTCTTAAACCAATTTGAAGAAGATGCCACTTTACTCATGCATGCTAGATGGCAGCATGAATTACAGACCAATTCTTCTGATACCATGCCCATCTCCCTAAATATTTCTGCACCTTTGCATTTAGAGACCTTGCACAACGTTACTTCACTTATCTGTTGGAAATCTCCCTAATTTCCTGAACGGTTCTGTCGCTCTGAGTAACACAGAAGTGCAGCCAGGTTACTCCAGGCAGGATGCTCAAACACTGCAGTGAGTGTACAAAAGGAGGCACCTTCCACAAAGCCAACACGGACTTCCTGTCTTCACAACTGCTCTAGAAGTCCTCCCTGCTCCTCAGGCTACGAATAATGAAGCTCCCTGCTATTTTAAGCTGCAGCTACACGGATACAGGCAGAACCCATGTATGCTGCGTGTGGGGATGTTCACATCTGATCACGTTCTGGCTCACTCTGAAGTACTCTGAATACAGCAGCACCAGAGGCATTATAATCATGTCTGTACAGAACTTCAGAGATGTGCCCTGGACCTTTTCTAACCTAGCATAACCATCACAGTGTTTCTGATCAAACACTACTAAACTGCATATTTGGCCATGAAAATGATTGTACTGTCTTGTAACTCAGCAGTGCCAGAACACACATCCCTTCTGCAGCAAAGTGAGAGCCAACTCTGCACTTACCCACACCAGGTAACAAACACAATGAAAGGTTTCACATTATGAGATGTTCCAGCACCACCAGCTCCTTCATTTAAACTGCATTCTGCAGCACCTGGGCAGTTAAAATGCACAACTTCAGCCTGCCAAATGAGTTTGGCCATGAATCCCTCACCCTTTAGCCGATGTATGTCTGCCATCTGATACGAGATGTTGTTCTGCAGCTTCACCTGGAAGGAAGAAAAGTTTGGATAAATACAGGGGACCAGCAGGATGGGGAGGGTTTGGGCTGTGAAGGTTCAGGTGTGTCTGTTTGCTCGGTAAAGCCAACGCACTGACAGGATTATCGGAGTGACGTGCACAGAGTTCCCATAAATCTAAGAAATGTGTGTTCAGCAACTGTAAGTGACATCACCAAACTAAACACTGTGCTCAGGCTTTGCTAACAAAGGCTTAAATTTTAATTCCAGAATGTATTTATATCAAAAAAAGTAGACTGTCTGGACTAAAATAAACATGCTGCATCCTGATACTGCAAGAGGGACAGTAAACAGCCAATGTCAAAGCACAGGTGGATAAAAATAAACACAGCATCAACAGCAAAACCAATTGTTACCTAATGTATATGATACAATAGAATTGTTATACTTAAATCATCTTTTATGTGTTTCTATCTAACATCCTAACATACATTTTATTTTGAGAGGGAATCCCAATACAACTACAACAGCTTTTAATCTGGCATTTTTAGTACGGAAAAAAATAGTTACAATAAGTAAGAAATGCACATACACAAAGTCCTGAAGTAAAGATGCTTTGCTTTGTCATTACATAAAGATAAAAACCAGCAGGAACAAAGAGAGATTCATGTGTGGAATATTCTGAGAAAGGGGGTAGGAATCCCTGCCTGCCCTCAGGCACCTCGGGCGCTGTGGTTGTTTTTCTTGCAGTTTCACAGTGACACAAAGGGTAACTGCGGGAAGGTGCTGAGCAGGGCTGTCACGCGTGGGTGACAAGGTCAGCATCACCTCTGGGAGCAGCACTCTGCAGAGCCAGCACAGCCACTCGGCCAGGACATGCTGGGACACACACGGGGACACGCTTTCACACAGGGGCTGTTTCAGTTCCCCCCCACAGTCCCTGAAGTGTCTGTGCCAGCCCCCTCCATTTCCTGCCAAAAAACCCAAAACACACCTGTCCTGCCTTTAGGACTTCCTCCCCGCACCTGCGCCTTCCCTTGTATCAAATGATGCATTCTTTAAATGTATTTCCCACTGTGGTTTTGTTGTTACAAGAGGCACTCTGAGCAGGCTGATCCATTTAGCCTGTGTGGGTATGATTCCTGCTTTGGGATGCAGCCACGCAGGAACTGCAGAGATGGTTTACATCCTTACAGGATGCACAAAGCAACACCCCCTCTGTGCTGGCCTGGGTAGGACTTGCAGAGCTTCACTTTAAAAGCGCAGCCAGCCCTGCAGTGGGGACACCCAGGGAAGGGGACACCCAGGGAAGGGGACACCCAGGGAAGGGGACACCCAGGGAAGCAGAAGACACAAGCCACCACCAAGCCTCTCCATCCACTGGGCACCCAGCGTGCCAGCTCCCCCTCCAGTGACTCAGGACAGGGGAGCAGGTACACCCAGTGATTTGTTGTATTAATGAACAAATAGCTCCCCCTCTTTTGCAAAACTACAGGCAATAATCTCATTTTCCTGTCTTCCACTCTAATGCAGTTGTTTCCCAGAACTCAATCAATCTGTGAACAAAGGAGATCCTGGGAAGTAGCAGGGTCTGTTTTCAGAATTGCTCACACACACACCCTTCCCTGTGGCTCCTGCTTATCCCATAACCATGTGCCTGGCTGGGGGAGGGTGCTGTCTGTGAGACCGAGCTGCATGGCAACGTGCAGCACTTTTATCACACAATCTTTCCTTTTGGTGATTCTGAGTTTCAGAGAGAAGTGACAGAATTTATATCCAAACCAGCTCAGCTGACAGCAAATGTCCCTGATCTGAAGGATAGAAAAGGAGGAAGCTTTTTTATGATTCATGAGATCTGTTCCACCTACACACGCAAAACCCACAATCCATGAGCCGTGGCGCAGGTCCAGTTCTTCCTGGGCACCATTCTCCTTTGGTCTAGACCTGTTTGTATTGCTGAGCTCCCAAGGGCTCCTCAGGGCCTTTCCAAGCACTTGGGATGGAGAAAATAAACCCTCTGTAGCCCAATGAGCCCTGCACAGGAAAAAAACCCCAGAAATCCTATGCATGGTCATGTGGCAACCCTCCAGCGCTGTCTGAGTTGTGAATCTTGCCATGTAACAACTCCACATTGCTGCTGTCAAGCTACAGCTTTGCAAACTGGGGAGTTACCAAGTTTTGGCAACAAAGAACAGACCCAGCAGCTGTTGGGGATGTGTGACTAAACAGCTTCATCCCTGAATCCACATTTCTGGGCAGCAGTAAGGGCAGGCCCGTGCTCCACACTGGCATGGCCAGCAGCAGGTATGGGATGAGAGGTGCTCCCTGCACGCCTGCCACCTGGAACCTCTCCACCAGGGATTCCTGCCAGTCCCACTGCACTCATTGCAAACAGACACACAGAGCTATGGAAAAACCCCAAAACCTAACGGCATGCTGCAAAAACCCCACAGAATGCTCAGGAGGCTGATGCTACCTGTGCATCAGCACCTGCCCAAATCCCAGGGTAGGCATTACCCCTGCTTGCCTCTCACGGGGCACTTCAAAAGGGAACTCCTTGTTTGTTCCAAGGGCCAAGAGACCCTCAGGAGCTCACCACAGGAAAGGAGAATTCCCAGGAATTCCTGCTTTTTCTCTTTCTTTATAAACACGAGACACTGGGTCACGCCCCCATATTTGCTCCCAAGAGCAAACACCATCCTGGTGCAGTGTGATGGGCTCGTTCCACGAGCAGGGGACACAGGGGAGAGCCAAGAGTTTGGCCCTGACTCCAGAAATCCCCGAGCCAAGAGGAAGCTGCTGCAGAAACTGGAGTTGCCTCACCACTGGGAAAGGCACTTGATTTATGTGACCACAAGGCAAAGAACCTCAGCTGAGGACAAAGGAGCACAAAGCAGAACTGACACTGAGAATCTTCTAATGAGTTTTTCTTGTGATCACTTGTACCAATGTTGGGATTTTATTTCAGCTCCTGCATTTCACAAATGAAGTAAGATCACAGGTAATGAGCAGTTTGGTCAGACAGACTCGACAAATTCTGTTTTGGGAGGAAAGAAATTATCACTCAAGCCTTTTTTGGTCAGACACTTTGTATCTACTACTGTTTCCTTGTGACAGACTTTCATTCTCTAAAACAAAGCTTTATTCTCTACTCTCCCAGAAGTAATAGTCCTGAAATACAGTCACTTAAAGGGTTTTAGAAAAAAATAAACACTGTTGCCAATGAGAAAAGACAGTGGCTTACTTGGGAGGAATAAAAGGCCAGCCACGGTTTTTTGATAAAATCCTGCTCTTCTGGCCTCTTAGGGCACTCTGAACATTTTGAACACAAGAGAGAGGATGTTCAAAAGCTATGAGGTCACACAGCCTTAAGTGGCAGCTTCTGGAACAAAGCAGGAAGACCCAGGGCACACACTGCAGTCAATTAACACTAAATGTAACCTGGGAGGTTTACCGGGCAGGTTTCTCTCGCTGCCCTCCGGCTGTGCCCTGTGCAGTGTCACACTCAGAGTGTCCAAAGCCCAGGCAGATCTCAGGGAACACAGCGCTGGGCAGGCAGGGGCAGCCAGCAGCAGCTCTTTGTGTCCCGTGGCTCCAGTAACCAGCGCTGCACCGCCCAGCTCACACCTCCATCTCCTCCCCCAGTGCCCTACAGGACCACGTCACAGATTTCCGAAAAAAATATACATTCCTTGCATTAAAAGCACCCCTTGTCATGCAGCCCAGTAACTGCTCCCAGAATTCCTGAGGCTGGAAAAGCCCTCCCAGCCCACGGAGCCCAACTTGTGCCCCATCCCCACCTTCTCACCCAGAGCACCGAGTGCCACATCCACGCCTTCCCTGCACACCTCCAGCCACGGGAACTCCACCACCTCCCTGGGCAGTTCCAGTGCCTGACCACCCCTTCCAGGAAGAAATCCTTCCTGCACTGTGCCTCACAGCCTACCTGAATCCTGCCAAGTGAGTTTTACACCCGCAGTCAGTGACACTAACACACCAAACAAGCTGACTGCCCTTTTGCAGACGGAAGGGAAAGTATTTTGGCTAAACCCCAACTGCTTTAGAATCACTGAATCACTAAGGCTGGAAAACACCTTTAAGATCATGGAGTCTGTTTCATATCTAATTGGATTTTTTACTGCAATCTAAGGAGAGATAAAAATTAAAAATATGTTTGCTGAACACACAAAGGGCTTAATTTTAATGGTTCAGTAGGAAACATTAACACACACTTAATCAGTTTGAGGGAGTCTAACTCTGGAATGTGACATGTACATATTTGGCTTTTTCTGTGACAACTCAATGCATTTTCTGAGGCTGCTCACCCAATGTGTGATAAGAAAGGGCCAGAAAAACAAAGCTAGCCAGCAATAACGCCAGAGAGTGTGACATTTACATAAATCCCACTGTGAGAACAGTGTTCAATGAGCAGAGTGGTGACCTGCATGCAAATCCACCACACACCCCCTGAACAGGATTTGCGTGCTGAGCCCGTGAACTTCCTAGTTCAGGACGGTTATGAAAGCAGAACAGTGAAAGTTGAGGCATTCACTCATCTTCCACAACAAAAGAAATCCCCAGGCCACCCCCACCGAAAGGGCCAGCTGAATTTTCAATGAGCTTGGCTTCTCCAAGACAAGGAAAATGACACGTTAGTCAGCAGCAGGGTTGTTTGCTGGGTTTTTTTTTTCCCTCAAGTACACGCTGGCAGCATAAAAATCAGAGTGTGCTGTAGCAGGCAATCCAAAAGGGAAGCTCAGGGTGCTACTGAACACCATACTGGTTTAATTTCCCTTGAAACTGTAGTTTTACTGCTGAGGCTGGCTTCTCGAATGATCACAAAAGATCAAATATTCTCAGCAGAGACAGAAAGCTAAAAAACAGTAAGCAAATTTGAAACAGCCGTTCGGAAACGAGCGATCTCTCGGGATTTTCATTGTGTACACACACACTGGACCTCTTCAGTTCTTTTTGGGGACGTTTTCAGAAGACAGAGAGCGCTGCAGTTGTCCCAGCAGCAGCAAACCTGAGCCTCGGGGCCCTGATTGACTCTCGGCTGTAGAGGCTGCGGGGACACCTCGGGCAGGCG